CTTAAAAGTCATCATTTCGCAAATTCTATGGTCGATATAACGGCCTTATTCATACATTGAATTACGTATTTTTTCGTTTTCATGATTATGACGGTAGGTGTGACCGGTAAGCAGGGGATACTTACTCCTTCTTGTCACCTGATCCCACCCATGATGTTTTTAAGGTCCCTGTTTGCTCTGCTTCTGATTTTGTATTTTTTCTTTGGCCTTCTGCGCCTGATTACTGTTCGTTATCTCCATATTTGGTTATTTTTAGGGATATCCAGCACACGTGACAGCGGCTATCAGTGAGTGGTTGACTTGTATTGTGTTCCTTCTATTTTTTGCCACGTTTGTTCAGGATTTCAAACGAACCTCAGCTTCTGTGACATTTCACATAAATTTAATCGAAGAGTCAGAATGTATCAAGGTCTGAATAAAAATATTTTTTCTAGGAAAACCAAAATCTGATTATAGAGCTTTTTATTTTTATATTTTGTACATCATTATGTTATTTTGATTTGAATCTGTTTACCATAATACATACATATTTGCATAGTTTTGATGTATTTCTTTTGTTACTTTTTTATTGATCCGAAAATAAAAATATATGTTTGAAATGTGTTAATTTTCATCTGTGTAAGTTAATTACTGGATTCAAAGGCTCTTTGTAGCATCAAAATGTATCACATTTCAATTCTTTTTACAAGCATTCCAAACGATAAATTTAAGAATAGTCTCCTTGGTGTCAAAGACAACTGAATCTTCAATAAAAATGGAACGCGTAAATTTGCATACTTTGTCACTGGTCATCTACAAACTTTTCCTTCTTATTAACATTCTGATTTTACATACAAGTACTCCAAGGTTGATATTAAAAAAGGTGCTCGAGTTTCTCATTGATAAAATCTATGTAAGACCGCGGAATAGTAACTGGCAAAATTGGAAATATCCAGCTTACGTCATTTCCATCTGTTACAGTCAAAACATTTAATGATAGACAATGAAATGGGCGGGTACAATTCGACACGGACGTCGGAAAAACATTGGATTGAAATTCTAGTTTGAAATTCATTTTCAATCCACCTCAGGTACGCTAGAACGCACGGTGTTACTTATTGACCCAGAGGACAAATAATTTGAAATATGTATAAATCAGAATGTTCTATCCCATGTTTTTAAAGAAATATAAAGGGACAAATATTTGATTTCTGTTTGGTATGTGTACATGTATGTGTGTGCTGGGGTGGGGTGGGGGGATGGAGGGGGGCTGAACGATCTTAGAAATGAATAAGAAAGTTTTCTTTTAGTTTGGACAACCCCTCCCTGTTTTTGTTTGTCAAACATTTTTCAGAGAAGAAAAAACTAAAAAATAAAAGCTCTTGTCATCCTAGAAATTAATATATTCTTCATGTGAAGGCATGATCTGACTCGACAGTTTTTGACAGCCCCCCCCCCTTCTAGAATCAAATGGCCGTACCCTGAAAAAATAATCTCTGTCTTCTATGACTTTGACGTGTCCTTGAAATTATAGGCTAAAAAACTCATATAAATATGAATTTCAAACAACATTTATTTGGAAATTGAATTTATTTGTCTTTTGGATCATACATTCACACTTAAGTTTTGAAAGCAGCTCAGATGGATTAAATTTCAATTTTTTTTTTCAGTGAAGAATAATAAATAATGTCTTTTGTCATCCTACAAATAATAAATATATTCTTTTATGTGAGGCATAACCATAAATAATCTAATTCTACACAATTTGTCACCCCCCCCCTTCTAGAATCAAATGGGCATCCACTAAAATAATAAAGCCACTATATATAACTTTTGTGTGTCCTCAAAATATTGGATAGAAAATTGTTATACATTAATTTCAAAATATACGTATTTGGGAACTGAAATTATTTGTCGTTTCGATCATACATTATAACTTTGAGAAAAATAGCTCAGGTGGATTGAAAATGAATTTCGAATTGCAATTTCAATCCAATGTTTTCGCAGACGTCCGTGTCAAATTGTACCCGCCCATTTCATTGTATATCATCAAGTGTTTGACTGCGACAGATGTAAATGACGTAAGCTGCATATTTCCAATTTTGCCAGCTAATGTTCCGCGGTCTTAATTTTTTGGAGAAAGGTTCTTCCAAAAATATATTGGAATTCCCATGGGTTCTTCCTGTGCCCCGTTATTTGCAGACCTGTTTTGTATTCTTATGAAGCAGCGTCTACATGAGTATTTAACACTGGCCTTCAACTCAACAATTAGATACATCGGCGACATTCTATCAATCAACAATATTCATTCCTACATTAATTCAATATATCCCAATTAACTCGAAATAAAGGAACCACTGAGTCTAAAAATTCTTTTTCAAATATATATATTTTTCTAGGAAAGAAAGTGATGGCAAACAATCAACAAAATTTTGTTATTAAAGCGATAACTTCAACTTTTTTATCGTCAACTTCCCTTATTCATTTCGCAATATACCATTTTCACTGTGGAGTTTGTGTCTCCCAGATGATTCGATACGCAAGAGCTTTTCTACGTACCATCTACCTCTAAAATAAGACAGGCTACTGACAGAGAAGGTGATAATACAAGAATATCAGCAATCTCGTTTAACGTCAACATTTCGCAATTTTTATGGTTGATACAATAACCTTGTTTACAAATACAAATTATTGTTAGGTCGAATATTGATTGACATCCTTTATAGAATTGCAAGATTATTATTTTCACTCAAAATTGTCTACGTATTATTCCCTTTACTCGATTACGCACGGAGGATGTGACTGGTCGACTGGGGATATTAATTCCTCCATGGCACCTGATCCTACCTCTATATTAAGAAGTCCGTGTTTGCTCTGTTCACAATTTGAATTGTTTAATTGGATTTTGAGTATGATTACCATTAATGACTGGAACAAACAAGTAAACTATCTTTTCTTACTATAAAATTATAAAGTTCTTCTGGGTTGACTAAATGCTATTCCGTTCCAAATCGGGAAGAAACTTCCAGGATTGATTAAGGACAGGAAGGCAGGAATCGAATTAATTTTTTTGCGCTTGGATACATTGGAATAGAGTCCTGTAAAATTACGCGTCTCTCAAACGCAAAGCTGCCGTACAGACAATGTAATGTCAAACCGAGCCAATTTCCTCTTGAAGTTCTGCTGCATGACTGTGGCCGATCACTTTGAAAAAAGAATCCAAATAAAGGAGATTGGTGAACATGACGAGCAATAAGCCTATAGTGTGACAAACATGAAGATGAAAAATTAAATTTCAATTATATCAAAATTTTCCTTGATATTTCGTCTAACATGAAAATATACTTTATGTAAAATCTCTACAGTTTGCAAAAATCCCTCAAAGATTGAAATTATTTGCCTGTGAAATATTAGACACACACTAAAGAGGGCAAAAAGAGTCATTTTCTCATACTATAACACTATTTTTCGATATGAGTGGGTCTTCGCTCCACCTTTTTGAAAGTTAATCCTCAAAGTTTGCATAAAAATAAAATATTTTGGTTACCAAAAATATGGAGCAAGGACCCACTATACCTTAAAAATATACTTTTCGCATTATTATTAAAGATACCTGACATACAGTTATCAATTAGGATATTTGTTATCTTGAATTGCACAATTATATTTCAGTAAAATTGCCAAAACACACTGGAGTCATGGAAACTTGTTATAACTTAAACTTTCATTTCATCGTTTATAATTTGTTTATTAGTATCATGTATGTTTTTCTTAACTGATTTGGTTTTGTCATTGAGACAGGATAGGTTATCTAGAAAAAAAAGAAATATGAAATATGTGGAGATAACAAACAGTATTCGAGCTATAATATTTTTATATTGAGAGTACATGATGATAAGACGTGTACTTCAGAACGATTTAGTAAGCAGTATTCATTACAAATTGTATTCAAGCCAAGAACGAGGTCGCTTTTGATTAGCATTCGGCAGGAATCTGGGTGCACTTGAAAAGTATTCTTTTGATGTATCGGGTTCCTGTGATATGGCAACGTGAAATATTTCTCCTATATTGTATTTTAATTTGCCAGAATAGAATTGGTTAGATGAGTCATTTGGTACAAAATATCACATTTTTAAACACTTTTTTTTTCTAAAAAAAAAAATTGCTATGTTTGGATCATTTCTCTGTGAATTTGAAATATTATTTCTGTGTATTTTCATTCAAAGCAACCAACAAACATTTGTAAAAAAAAAAAAAAAAAAAAAAAAAAAAAAATGGAGAGAAGACCGAGAGACGATGCTAAATAAAATTTTTCGGAAAAAAAATCCATTGTTTAATTGTGGTGCTTCATTGTCATTTTAAAAATCATTTAGTTTGTGTAGAGATGAGAGCTCAGTAGTATGCGTTACCCGTCCAGTGCAATGAAAGAGAATTTTTTTGTCAGTTTAATTTCACAGTATTTTTACAAAAAAAATTCTTAATCAGGCTTCACAACTCAGGAATGCAAAAACCGGCTTAAATATATGACGTCAACTTTAGGGCTCGTTTTCTAAACGTAAGAATGTACATAATGGTGTTTTTCGCTAGACTGTCATCATATATTACATGTTTATAATCTCATGAGACTGTACTTTTGAACTTCGTGATATATATGTACAGTTACCAAACAAACTGAACTTTAAATACTATGAAAATACATCGGGATCGGTATGTTGTAGACTGCAGTAAAGACAGACCGAAATCTCTTTCTAGTTACGAATCCGAGGTATTGTTGAATTAAACATATATGAATAGTGTACATAAATTATTTTTCTATGAATATATTTCAATCTCATTATTAATTTTAACTATAAAGGATAAAGAATCATATTTCTATTTGATTGTCACACTTCATGATAAATGCTTTTCTATCACAGTCATTATCCGTGAATATTTTCTTTGCAGGCAATGCACGAACTAACTAGTATGCAAATAAATAACTGACCACTCTTAGGTTGTTTATATGTTTAATGATACTATATGACACATGTGTTTCCTGGAACACTAGTTTTAAATAAGGAGCTATACATGAAAAAACTGTGAACCTGTTTTCTTGATTCTTAAAATCTTTTTATTGTTTAAGTTTTACTTATTGGGCAGTGGGGGGGGGGGGGGGGGGTTAAAGCATACAATTTGGAAAGCAACACATGTTAATGAAGAGAAACACATCAGATTTAAGAAAAAATCGAATTGTCAAGTCTAATTTTCCTGTACAATGTTAATATGGCATTGCTGTCCTATTCACCTGGCTAAAATGAGAGAATTCTGGACTATTGTTGCAACAGACAACACTATTCTAAATGTAAACCAGTAACATAGTTCAAGCATCACATTAACATTAATGCTAAAACTTGAAATTTTTAGTGTTTTTTCGTATTTCCAGAACTTCCTCTATTGCTCTTCTTTTATACGATCTATAATTTATGGGAATCACACGCATTATATCTGTTTTCATACGACTATCCATTAATTTCGATAAAGGGTTTTTCGTTGCACGCCTGGATTAAGTTGCCTAAGCTTTAATGTCCCTCAGCGTCGGCGACCGCCTAATTGAAGCAGCTGTTGTGCAAATGGCCTAATGTCGAATCCAAGGCGACTCCCTTGCAAAAGCAATGTGCATGGCACTGGCGAATTACTGTAAAGTAATGCTTAAGATTCGTAAAACGTACATTTGATCACCGACTTTCGCATTATGTTAGCAATTAATAACAGATATAGGATCATACACATACACATACACACACACACACACACACACACAGAGAGAGAGAGAGAGAGAGAGAGAGAGAGATTACCCTTGAATGTTAGGTCGTAACATTAATCTAGGTTGGAAGGATGGAATGATGCCATTATTCTTTACGACAGAGCAGAGAATCTTTGAGTACGTGATCTGTTTGATTTGAGCAAGTTGGGCTGTAAATGAATTATGTTTTAAAAGTTGACTCATGACACTGTATGTCACTCATAATACTTCTATAGTTATACAAAAATGATTTATTACATTAAAAAGCTTTAGTTTACCAGATGTAAAAGCAGCCACTGGGTTTTCGGGGGAAGTGCGCTCGTACCAGAAACGGTCGCCATGTTTGTAGAAGCTAAACTGAAGAGCGATGAGACATTGGAACGTGGGCCCTAGAATACTTCCTGGTCGAGGAATCTCAGACATACCACCAGCAAAGAGGTCTATATCATCAGGGTGTCTAGGAACGAATGTAAGGTAAAAAAAACTATTAATTTAAAATACATGCGAGTCCTCTTAGTGCAAGAAAGATAACTGTTAACTTATCAACAAATCTTTTTGTAGACAACCAAAAACTGATTTTGCATGACTTTAAAGTACTTTGGTGTGTAAAAGGTATAGGCAACGAACAGTGATCGATCTCAAAAAATCCATAAACAATACAAATATGTAAAGAGGGCATAAAATACGGACCCGTGGAAATTCCAGAGATGGAATCAGGTGCCTAGGAGGTGAAAGCATTCTTATTATTCAGGGCTGTAAAACCATCAATCAAATAACCTATGTTTCGTAGTTAGTGGCATACTGTCCAACTGGGAAAAAGTAATTGTTTTGAGGGCTGTTTTGTGCTAAGATCCATAATGATACCATGATAACTTTTTTTTTCTAAATGGCCTAACAATTTATATGAATAACGTCTTTATATAAAAGACGTTAGTCAACATTTGACCTAACGAGATATTGTACATGCATTTGCAACAAAGCTCTTGTGTATCATCAACTGGGAGGCATAAACTACATATGCAGGTGATAATGGTATATTGCTAAATAAATAAGGGAAGTTCACGATAGATGGAAAAGTTGAAGTCATCACGTTTAAAATAAAACAGCTGCGAACTCTTACTCCCGATTTTATTCTTAATGGCATTCTTATCATATTTCTTGTATTTAAAAATTAATGAAATGTTCATAGATTCAAGAAGACATTATTACTAAGTGATGATACCAATTAGATTAAATTTGACCGTTTTATTTTAGGAGCAAGGTCAAGTCAAGGTCACTATCTTTTTCATTGACGGTAAGAATAAAAAATTACTGTTGCCAATCATGCGATGCCTACTTTTATTTCAAAAGATTAAATGTTTTTCTTTTTGCACAGAAAGATATTACCATATAGGGTCTATCAGATGACACTACCAAATTGACATAAATAATTTAACTAAAATAGATATTGGCTAATCCTAATTTCCTCTATTTTTCTAATATTTTTAGGATAAATTTGTTATTTTTATATGCTTCGCATATCTAAATTTTTCGTATTTTCACATATGGTAAAGTAATATCAAGATACAAATTGATACAAAAACAAAAAGTTTTGACCGTTTACTACGAGAGAAAAAACACTTTTTACGGATTTTTTTTCTGCTCAAATCTGCACTTAGATTGGAAGCTTTTAAAAGTTAGCGAAATTGTAGTTTGTTTGGGAAATCATATTTATTTGATATATTTTAAAACTTCAGTCCATTATTATCAATTTTACTTACATTTGAAATTTTTACTTTCATTTGAAATTTTCTTTACGTCTTTCATTGTTTAAAAATGTTAATTCATTGCTATAAAGTAATTTTGAGAAGCAGAAAAGGATATATTTTCATACGCTGCCGTTCCGCCTAAAATGTAGTCCCTGCTAGATTTCAAACTCAGTTTACCATTTTTATATAAAGTTGTACAATTATGTTGAGGAAAGAAAAATATGATTTTTTAAATCCCTTACATCTAAATATATAAGACATATAAGCAAATATACTTTGAATATTTCTTCTAGTCAGAAACCAGACAAGAATCCCGCCTTAGTTACAATTCTTTCTAATACAGGGGTGTAAAATTCATGAAAACCATGCTATGAAAAATTCATCGGATTTTCCAAAACTCATGTATGTTGATAAATGACCTCCTAATCTTTTAGTTTCATAATATAAATATAACTATGTCTCATTAATTAAGTAAATGCCTGTAGTTCTATATTTTTTGAAACTGATGATTAAATGAACGCATTTTCCCTGTACTTTGATCTGTAAACTTAGCCCCCCACCTGATCAGAAAGTATAATAAATTTAAAAAAAAATAATTGGAATACGATGACTTTTGAAAATTGACCTGGAGCAAAACAATACTATCGTTCGTAGTGTGTTTAGTAGTTAGTTTACCATCAGTGTCTATCAAAATATGAAGCAGATGTGTCAAACTGTAGTGTCTCTTTTATTTCGAGTTTATTTCGAGTTCAGTTTTTATCATATTATTATTCAGATTCACCTAATATAGATTGTCAGATGTACATTCACGCGTGTAGCATACCATAAATTGGGTAAAATGTGTTTTGTATATGTTTGTATCATGTCATGTATAATATGCGTCTTTGCATGTTATGTGTTCACCTTGAATCATACAGTAAACATTTCTAATGCATTAATGCATCACCTCTTAGATGATACTACACAACAAAATAAACCTCCACTAAACCCTACAAACTTACAGATAGGTTCTCTGAAGTGCAGCTGCTGCTTGTGGAGTATGATCGACCAGTCCCCCTGGGGCAGTAGCAAAGAAACGCGCTTTTTGAAGTCCACAGAATTCCCTGTAAGAGTTATAGGGAGGTATGCCATGATCACGGCCTCTCTGTACGTTCAAGGCTCCCAAATCCATAGACAATGTTTCTGATGGGGACGTTCCTGGCATTGGTGGAAATTCAAACAATCTATTTCTAATACCGTCTACCAAGAATCTGTCAGACCTAGATTTGGGTTCTCGTGACATCCAATGAGCCATGAATTCATAGCCCTTTTCATACATCAAATCAGGACGCTCGAAGTGTTCGCTCACCGGAAAAGTAAAACGATCTCCGTTCCCTAAATCATGACCTACAGTATTTCTGACTAAACTATGACCCATACGATAGGCTGCAACACCGAATGCATTTATTGTTCTTGGGTCAACCTTAGGGTTGTAAGATTCAGCATGTCCTACTAGTTTTGATTTGAGATTGAAAGAATTCATATGTAAATTATCAAGAATGGCAGGCAAAAACTCATTGTATGTTATATGTTGAAGCTCTGCTATTACAATTCTTTTGGCTTCCTGAAAAAGAGTCTCGTCATTCGTGATGCCAGTAGCTTCTCTTAATGCGTCAGCGATGATATTATGACGTCTTAACCACGTGATGTGTTGAACAGTTAGCGTTGGTGTCTCACTTTGCCTGTGATCTCCTATCAACAGACAAAATTGTCACATATATATTCACGCATAGAATACCATCAAAGTACAAAGTAATCAGGGAGCTATAAAATTACCTGCTTTGAAGCATGGGCGCATTGCTCGGGGTGCCAAAGCGGGACATCCCTTAGGATTGGGAAGGAGCAGATTCTGATCGTCTACAGCAAGTCGTCCTAATTCTAGAAACAAAGTTAGATGGTAGTAAACGATGACTGCTAAATTTACTTTATATATATATATATATATATATATATATATATATATATATATATATATATATATATATATATATATATATATATATATATATATATATATATATATATATATATATATATTCGGAATAAAATCGATGATAGAAATATTATTAAAACATCTAATGACCTCTTGATACTCCCCCTCTTAGCTCAAGCTCTAAGCTGACTTCAGAGCCATAAATCATTGAGCCGTCCACAAAAGCTGTTCTCTGGTTGATTTGCTCGCGAACACCTACAAATGGCATATTCCTATAGTATCTTCTCATTAATAACTAATTTGTAAGTTATCAAATATATAATAAACACTGTAGAGACCTCCATGAAATAATAAATTAAAGAGGTGAAGAGCTAGTGATTTAAACATTGTGAAAATCCAGTTCTCGTTTTCCCCCTCAGTTTTAGCGTCAGATTGAGAGAAGTAAGGCTACGTATTACATCTATAAAACGTGATATCTATGAATGTTTTTTGAATTAGCTGTTTGAATATTGAATTAGTTTGAAAGAATATCATCTGACCGTTCATGCATCCCATTGTCGGAGCACCAGCATGGCGGACGAAGTTCATGCAGGTTTTGTCTGGTGGAAAAAAGGGATCAGGTGGCGTTTGTACTACCTCTATGCTAAAACAAGCTTCTGGGTTTTGTTGCATTCTATAAAAAGACGGAAATATTTACATGAACAGTGGGGTCAATCAAGAGTGTACTCCTCTCTTCACCCACACCACTATTCTTTCTGCTTTAGATAGACTTGGCTTAGAGGTAATGCAATTAGTTATCATCAGAACGATGTTTTGGTAACAATGCAAACAAAACCACAGATATTTCAATTTCTAAAATAGAATCATTAATTGATAATTTCTGAGTATAAAGGTTAGCAATTTTACATTGATAAGTGTTAGAAAGAGAGGGAAAGTTGTTGATTGTTGCGGTTAGCTAAATTTCGCAAGTTATGTGTAGCCATATTATGAATTTCTTTTGTTTACTACTTTTTTAACTTGAGATCCATAACATATATACATCAACTTGGTCTTCTGGGTCATTATATAGACCAATTTTAACCTTCATTTTCTTGAACACACGACATTTTGTGGCCTTTTTTCCAGGAAAGATTTGCTTTCAATATCTTTATAATACAATAAAAGCAACATTTGTGAACAGATATCCAGGGCCCAAGCTTAATTTATCCTTATCAGCTTATATGGCATAGGTGTATATAAATAGACAATATGTAGCACTGTATTTATTGAGAAGAATTTTTGGATAGGGATAATATATATATATATATATATATATATATATATATATATATATATATATATATATATATATATATATATATATATATATATATATATATATATATATATATATATATATATATAAAGCACTAAAAACCAACAACACTGTATATCCTAAGTGTCGGATCTACTAAGTAGATACAAGGTCACGGATGGAAATTTATATAAAGCACTAAAAATGACCAACGACACGAACAATAATAATTGTCAAATTTTCGGGACGACCTGTCCCTTCCTCAGGACAAAGAAAAAAGTTAAGAAGTCATAAAAACAAAGGAAATAGAGAAGCAAAAACAACTAGCACTACTATTAAACTACCAAACACTAAATATTTACAATGTTACATGTTTAATTTGGAGTTTATAAACAGTTGTGAACAAAGAAATCCGGAGCGCTATGAATTGCGTCCGGTCTATCGGGTGTACTCTGGTGAAGTGTGATTTACATAATTGAACGAATTAATTATCGCTAAATAATTACGACCAACAGTAAATCGTACATTGTCTTATTCTCTCAAAATAGCGTAACTATACATGATAAAAAGAAATTAAAGAAAGATAATGTGGAGGGACAATTTTGAAATATGAATTTGGATATATTATAAATTTGAAAATCGGAAAAAAGAAATAAACAAAAATGTAAGCTGTAAATATTTGGGTAGGTTGTTCCAGGATTGCGAATACGAATTAACGGTAAAGTTTACACTATATAGAGAGAATGAACTTGTTTGTTACAATTCGGGATTGGGTCTAGTTCACGTTCATCCTGGTGAAGTCATTAAGTTTGTTAATACCATTAGGGCGGAATAACTTCAGCCTGTGCATCCAGAACTTTTCCTTGCCTTTTCTCTGCGCGTCAGTCCATCTTGGATTATGGTCAATAACCACTACTGTCATGTCCTCCCATTTATGACCTTCAAGGTTGAATGTTCCCCAACGGGTTCATTGAGTTTTTTGGTCCTAATGGTAGAACGGTGATTATTGACTCTCTTGCGGAGATCTCCTGTTTCACCAACATACTGTTTGGAGCAAACTTTGCAACTGATGAGATAAATACAGTTGTCTGTTTGACAGGACAAATTCCCTAGTATTTTGTAGCTGCGGCCTGCAACGGGGCTGTTAAAACTGTCTGTGTCAGAGCTGTACTTACAGAGAAGACATCTTCTGTCAGAGCAAGTTTTAAAGCCCCCGTTAGGTAATTGATTGTCCAATCTGGTTCTTACTACCATGTCCTTTAGGTTCCTCGGGCGTCTGTATGCAGCCAATGGGGGCTCCTTAAAGACCTCTGCCATTCGTTTATTTGAGTGGAGAATTGGCAGATCCTTTTGAAGGATACCACTGAGGTTCTTTAGGACGGGATGGTATGTGGTAACCAGAGGGACCCTGCCGCTATTGTCTTTTTCCTTGTAGCGTTATAGGTTTTGCCTGTCATGTCCCGCCATCTCATCAATAGCAGTTTGTACGGTGCGGGCATTGTAGCCTCTCATGCATAAGTGGGACTTAAGGAGACCGCTTTGTTCTTGATATAAGGCAGGGGATGAACAGATTCGCCGAATTCTGGTGGCTAGACCCTTAGGCACACCCTTAAATGTGTGTGGGGGATGACAGCTAGTTGGCATAAGATACAGATGGGAATCTGTGGGTTTCGTGTGGAGACTGAACTCGATTTCACCATCAGTCAGGGTAGATGTAGTATCTAGGAATATGTTTTTCGAATTAGATACGTCTACTGTAAATTTGATAGACTGATGAAAGGTGTTGGCAAACGAAATGAATGCCTCGAGGCTCTCGCGACATTCCACCCACTTCATCTCTATATCGTCAATGAAACGCAACCAGCTAAGGGGCCTAAATGGTGCTTGAAGTAGCAAGTTGCGTTCCAGTCTGCCCATGAAAATATTGGCATAAGATGGTGCCATTTTCGTACCCATAGCAGTGCCATTAACCTGCAGGTAATGTTCTCCATTAAACATGAAGTTGTTATACTTGAGAACATGTTCAAGGAGCTTGGCAAGGGACTCGGTAGAAGGAATTTGTATGGATCTACTATCCCAGACTTCTCTACAGGCTTCGATACCCTCATCGTGCGGAATATTGGTGTACAAAGATGTGACGTCCATAGTCACGAGAAGGGTATGATCTGGAAGGCCAGTAGAGGGCGTCTTGTTAATGTAGTCCGTGATGTCTTTGAGATAGGATGGCAAATTCTCTACGCGTGGACGGAGATGTAAATCGATGTATTCAGAAATTTTCTCCGTGGGGTGTCCAATAACGCTAACTATAGGGCGACCTGGCATACCTTCTTTGTGTATCTTAGGAAGCAGATAAAATTGTCCTGGTCTACAGTCAATAGGATTGAGTGTCTCATAGACGTTGGTACCAATCTCGTTTTTCTCAAACAATTCGACAATTATTATTGTTCGTGTCGTTGGTCATTTTTAGTGCTTTATATATATATATATATATATATATATATATATATATATATATATATATATATATATATATATATATGTCTTCGGGTTTTTTTTTTTTCGATCATGACAAGGAGCACACTGTAGATGTGACCGGTCGGCTTGGGATGTTACTCCTCCATGGCACCTGTCCCCGCCTCTCAATTTTGAGTCCGTGTTTGCTCTGCTCTAAATTTACATAGTTTCATTTGACTATCGAAATTGAATACTGTTCGTTATCTTCATATTGTATCTACTCCTCAGTATGACATGAGAAACCTTATATATCTTCACTTGGTGAAGAGGGTAGTAATGTGAACAAATTTAAATCTATACTCTATGAATTCATGTACATAATATTGACTGTTTGTGGCTTACTCCTGACTGAGTTTTGTTATCTTCAAATTTTATTCTTAGATTCCTTAAATTCAAAACCAGTTTTACTGTAAGATCTCTGGGGTGATTGAACTTATATTTATAGTCCATACCTTACTGGAAGACAACAGTCATTTTCTTGTACTGAAAAAAAAATGGAAGATTATAAATCTTTAAAAAAAGTAAAGATGGTCGTTCGTGCGATTAATCGATGAATGAATACATAATATTATGTACCAACGACATTCGACAACCTTTATGTTTTAAAGTATTTGTAAAAGCATGTGAAACGAAACCTATTTGAAATAGACATAACAAGAAACCTATAAAACACAGTATTCACCCAAGTGAAACTTAAATCTATACTGCGTTAAATGCTTTCATTCATTATTATCACTAATCATGGCCCCGCTGCTCTTGAGAAGACGATTGTAACACAATTTCCTAATATATTCCCATGTAAAACTTTCTATCCCCTTTTGGGCCCCATCCTACCCATCGCAAAAGTGGTGGGACTCGATTTGTAAAAGACTTGAATCTGCACTTCCTGAAGATGATTCTATTATTTTATTTATATCACTTATCATGGCCCTTTTGTTTTTAAAAGGAAGATTTATATTTAATTTTGAAGATATTGAACAGTAATCATGTTCCTAAGTCGAATTCAACAATACAATTTGTGTGCAGAGCAAATGCAGACCTCTGAAAAGCAGAGATGTGATCACGTGTCATGGAAGAAAATCATTCTTTGTCGACCGATCACTCCAACCGAGTGCTCCTTGTCATGATCGGGTAAACGGAAAAATCCGTAGACAGTTCAGTGCGAATATAATGTCCCAACGATTTGTATGAAAGACGCCAGTCAACATATCGATCTAAATAAAGATTGCATTTGTAAACAAGTCGATATGAAGGACACAGAAAGCGACTTAAGCTTTTTATGTAGAAATTTTGATTACAATTCTGTTTCATACAAATACAAAAAAGGTCTGCGATTTTCTTGTTTTTATTCAATTAAACTCTGTAAATATGAAAAGAATATCTAGAACCAAGATACTATGCCTTGAATTCATAGAACAGTCTTGCAATACTATTAAAAATAAAATAATTTGTAACATTATTTTAAAATACTATAGTTTTTGCTTTTCGCTTCAATAAATTGGCATAATTGATGAAAGTGTTGCCTTTGCTACAAGAATAAAAAAAATGATCTGTGATTTGTTTTTAAAAATATTGTAGAAGGATTTTTACAATTTTGATGAACAGCATTGTCATTTAAAAGACAAAATCCAAACAAACAAACAAAACATATCTAATAAATAGGGGTGTAAACAAGTATTCGAACATTCAAATATATTTAATCCGATGAGTTAATTCGGTTATGAATTTAAGATTTGATTTTTCGGTGTTTTTTTTTTCAGATTTCACCTCCTAGAAAGGATAATAGACTTGAATTAGAACAATCGTGGAATTATCCTCGTTTTATTTACTAGAGATTCCCTGATTTCTTTTACTACTGTCTTCTCTGATAGATTTTCTTACTTTTTCAATCTGAGTAGGTTATAATCAGCTTGTAATATTGTAAAGGACTCAATTTCAGAATAATGCCTTAATTATTTGATTATCTTGAGTTGAATATATTCCTATATTTTAAAATCATTATCGGGAAATTAATGACCTAGGAAAATTGTCTATGGAAGTGCTGTTATATTTTCAGAACATTGTATCAAATATTATATAATATATCTTATTAAGCAGGGATAATTATAATAAACTATGTTTATTTAAATCTGAAGAGTAAACGACAATCTTTCCCCTGATTAGACGACTGGTTTGAGCCCATATAGATATCAATTGTTAAAATTATATTTAGTTTAGACATTGACAAATATTAAATATAGAATTCCTTATTGTATGCCTACAAAAGTCTTCGTTCAATTTTACTTCCAAATACAGACGTAAATCTTGCCATGAGATGACGTACATTTGAAATAAACCAAATTTTATTTATTTTATCGAATATTTGAATATATTCGAATACTTTCATTGAATATTGGAAGATGAATAATTGACAAAATTGACATCCCAACTAATTAATCATTTCTAAAATTAAAACAAAAACACTGTGCAGCTTTAGTAATGACAAAAATTACTTACACTCTACAGATGGGGTGGAAATGACGTCATGATCAATGAATTGTCCGTGGTGGGTGAGGTAGGTAGAGTAAGCGGCGCTGACAGGGGTCATGTCCCCTCCAATGAACTGGAACACGTTGTTACTGACTGTTCGAGCACTTGGCAAGGGCATATTCCCAACCCGGGAACGAGTTCTTGGAGTATCAATCCCTGCATAATTATAAGATAATTCATTGTTAAATTATTAAAATAGCAATTCAGCAATTATACTCGGAAAAAGGTCGTGTTAATCATGTAGGAAAAAAAAAAAAAAACAGAAGAAAAGAAACAAACAAACAAAGAAAAAAGTAAAATCTGGCATTTTCCCATTTGCAATTTATTTTGAACCTAGCGTTTGATAAGAAATGGACGTAAAATGTTTCCAGTAAAGAGAATTATAGTTCTTACAGTTCTCGTACGCAGCAGGTAAAACTCTTTGTTGTGGCGTATTTGAAGATCCCAGGAGGGGGTTAATCAAATTGTTACATTGTCCGTTTGTTCGTCGATAGGGTTCACTAACGTTACAAGCTGGCATCTGATAACAGTATGGAATGAATGCTCTTTGATAGCTTGATGTAATCTGGGGATCTGAGATTACTCTCTGAAAGCCATCTCCTGTAGGTCCTCCAACTGCCGGGCTAAAAATTGAGGAATAAAAGAGAAATATAGAAATTGCTTTACAAATGCTTTTGTTGACATTGCGTCTTCGATGATATAATATCCTCTCTGTTAATAAGAATTATTAATAAGAGCATTTTTTTTTACACTTATTTACTTCTAGAAATATTGATACGAACTCTTGTGCTATCATTCTTGATGCAAGAGACGCCCTCATCGAACGGTCATGAAGCATTGCAATATAAGCTGGCGAGTTACTCCGAGAAAACCTGGCTAAGGCCCGGTAGGCCCCAGAGCCTGATCCAGAGCCTGGAGTCGGTAAAGATCCTACACCTCTGCTTACTGTTCGTCCTACAAAGGTACAAATGTACAGGTAAGTGTTTACATTTTGTAGATTTGAGTCTTTTAAAAGTCCATACATTGATAATTGATAATGGAGCGATTACATGAAATGTGTGGAGATAATGAACAGTATTCGAACATCTATTTATATCAGCGATATTTAATTATAGTTTAGTATTCGTTAGTGAATTTTTAAAGCAGCAAGAAGTAAATTTTAATTTGAAGTAGTAGCTTTTGTTTTGAAAAACACTGACTTTCATATCGGTGTCAGATGTTTATATGGACACAGATGAACGTTAAGTTACACTAAAAATATTAAGTTATAATTGCAAGTTAATAACGTATAGTGTCAAAGCAGTGTATATATTTGAAAATATATAGAATGGCATTTCATAAAAAAGCGCTGGTCATTTAAATATAATCGTTTATATGAATCCTCCCAGCTTCATCCTAATTACAGATTATCCACGTTTTCAATGCAGTTTATTTACAATTTGAAATAAATCTTTTCAATTTTGGTACAAGGAGGATATCATAGACGAAAAGCTGACAGGTATAAATAAACATAAATTAGGTATAAAGGTTAAAAATTTTGTGTTTCTTTTTTTTAATTTCCAATTCTTTTGCTTTTTATGACTTTTTAATCGTAAATATAAATATATCGTAAATATAAAATGTAAATATGCACACAATGCAGTTTTCATAGATAATCTCCCATTTATTTTATATACTTCCTGTTGTTTGCTGGTGCTCAAAATTTCTGATTTTGAAAATAGAAAGCCTATTTAAGTAATGTATAAGCAAGAGATTGTTTAATCTGGTTATATTTCTGAAACACCGAATATTTCACTGCCTACTTCGTATTGTGTGATATAAAATATTAAAAAAGAAGAGAAATTTAGTTAAGGAAAAGAGTTTTTAGGTCTAGTAAACTAACATTCACAGATCAAGGAAGAGTTAGATATTTGCTTAGTATGAACATCATTAAATGTAGAGAAATGGGGTTTCATTCCTAGAGCTACTGGTCCTTCTAACTGCCGAATTCCTTTCCATTTATCAATATTTTGTCCCATGTGAATCAATGGTAGACAGTGGAATACTCAGTGTTGCAGAAATATTGCTAGTTTTGCAATTCTTTGATAATAAACATCTACAATAGGCTTTCTGTTTTTAAAAGCACTCATTTCGAACACTATCAATCGACCGGAAGAATACAAAATGAATTATTCATGAAAACTGCATATGAAATTAGAAAGTAGCAAGTATTGTCATCTTATAAAAAAAACTTATTTCAATCTATAAATATTTATATTTTTAAAATATTTTTATAAAACCTTTCATGAAAATATTCTCCATAATTTCTGGGAACACTTTATATATATATATATATATATATATATATATATATATATATATATATATATATATATATATATATATATATATATATATATATATGACTGCCGTCATGAGAAAAGGGCCCTTATCTTTTGACGTCACAATGCTCAGAAAACGACGTCAAAGTCGCGGTATTGTAAACACGGAAGTAAATTTTGTTGACTGCGTTTTTGTAGAAATACACGTGTAGATAGAATGAAATAAAACTGGATTTCCTGGTGTGAAAAAAATAAAATCATACGAATTTCGAAGCGGAAAATTTTAATAAATAACATTTTTACCATTTAGTACATGTATTTATTCAGGTTTCTGTGTAAATATTCTGTATAACATAATCCAAACGTTATGTTGAACGCAATATCAGATACTAGTAGAGCGATTTATATGATGCAAGGCTACAGATATATACTAGTATATATATTTTTTTTCTTTTTTTGACTGAGCTATTTGAAAATGCTTATATTCGACTTATACATTGATGTATTAATTAGTCTTAGTACTGATAGGTAGTTAGTACATACATTTATATTTTTTTCAGAGAGAGAGAGAGAGGGGGGGGGGCACTCAATGCACATACACATGTACGCGTTGTTTAAAAGTAAAAATGCTTCTTTCATTTGGAAAAATATATTGTAATAATGTTATGACATATTTTATTTTTATTCCATTGCTCATCATATCAATAAGCGCCGTTAGACCAGTTCAAGTGTGTGGCGTCGTTTTCCAAGTGGAGATGGGGGGGGGGGGTAATAATTAACAAACCAAAAAAGTCTCCAAAGGTATAGATACTGTAATATGGGAAATTTGATGTTCCTATCACAACAATGGAAGGGGTGTGTATGTGGCAAAAGGCCTTTTCATAATTAACAGCATGAGAATATTCTGCGGGGAAAATGGGGAGGGGGGTTCCCTCTCCCCTTTGATTATACTGCCTAAGGATCAAAGAAAAGTGATGTGCGTGATGTGTCTCTGGTAAATATGTAAGTTTTGAAATCGGGCATAATAAACATGTGTACATAGCATAAAAACTTGCACTATCGAATGTTTTCAAAGTTTTTGTGTCTTTTCCACAGTATTTTCGTATCCATTGAATACTTGTACATGTAAGAAAGCTCAAATCGAGAACTAATAAACGGTGAAATTACACGGAAAACAATAAAGCATGCACAAAATTGCTGATGAATACGAAGTATTTGCTTTAACAAAAGTTGAGGTACACTGTTATCATAAATATCGAAAAAAGTATTATTCTTTGATAATAACACAGTGAAACCTGTCTTATCCGACATGCTGCGGGAAATAAAATCAATGTCGGATTAGACAGTGTGTCGGATTACCCAGTGTTGAATATTTCTGAGCGTTATCATTGGTGTTAAATGACTTCAAAAACCATTTTTCATTAGGTTTAGAGTACACGTGTATTTAATTGTCAAAATGTTTGCATAATTGTGTGTTTCTTTGTTGTATAAAATATACCTTCGTTAATTAACATTTCTTTGAGCATTAGTAAACTCTGTAGTAATATACGATGTTTGTTTTTTTAATGGACAAAACAGATGGAACTGCCGATCGCTTCGAGATGTTGCAATTTAATTTTTAGCATTTTACTAAAGCAGTAGATGGTTAAGTAAATATTTCGTTTACATGTACCTTCTTTACACAGTAATATTTTTTTTTCTACACTACATTTCTCTCCGAATTTTCTCTACTGTTTACTTCTCAACATAGACTGTGCTATTAATACCGTCACGCGACTTTTCATACAAACCGGACGTAACTCTAAAACATTGTGATTTTTATCAAACAATCGTAATATTTTAAAATTTAATGGACAACTTAAAGCGGTATTTTTGCTTCCGGCAAATCCTTTATGTGCACAGCCTTGCTTAATTCAGTGTATATTAACCCTGAAATGATACTTTTTATTTTAGACAAGATGTACCATTCAACTTGTGTATTGTCTACATGTTACGTTCGCCATACTCTTTTTTTTCGGGACATGGCTTTATGAAGGACTGACTGCAGGTTTGATTTTAATTTCAAGCTAAAAATCTTAATGGAAAATATCATGTACTCTTTTTATTTTCTGTCGCGTGGATGCTATTTCTTAAATGCGAGAATAAAACTGATAACAACAAAGAGAACTGATTGCCTATTTTTTAATTTAAAAACTGATCATTTAATGCTTTCATAAACACTTTCAAACTTACATGTAATTAACTACTTTCTAAGTAGACCAATCTTGTGGCCAAACGGGGCATTCATGTCACCTGGCCTGCGGCTAATTACGGAACACCCGTGTAATTATGTCAGATTACCCAGGTGAAATCGTAATGTAATTATCTAGTTTTCATAACAAAAAAACGCCGGAATTCGGAATGTACAGTGGTCGGAATATACAGTGTTTTGTTCTATATAAAATTTAAAGAAATTTTTGGGAATAAAATATGAGGTCGGAAAGTCCAGTGTGCCGGATTGCACAGTTGTCGGATTGGACAGTGGTCACTGAATTAGCTTTTTCTATTTTGTTTAATTTGTTCTGATGAAAGTCAGCTTGAAATTAATTGAACTTGCATTAAATTTAATACAATTAAGGTGGACCCCCCCCCCTCCCCCGACTAAGTAAACAACAGTCACTTCGATAGTAGTTTTATTCTTGAAAAATGTTTGAAAAAGAAGAAACAATAGATTAGGTTTTCAAGAAATTTACTTCGGATAAATAGCATATGACGACAACCTTTGGTAGAAATAGAAAAAGTACTAGTAACAAGCTTAAGTGGTCGTGGGTGTCATTCAAAATGATATAAAATTCTCAAATTGTCAATTTTAACATCAACCGCAAGCTCAACAAAGACAATCAACAGCGGCGGATCCAGAAATTTCATAACAGGGGGCGCAGTAGAAGGCAGGGGCTCCATCGGATGCAGAGCAAGGCCCTGCTGGGGTCTCGGGGCGAATCCCGTGGAAACTGACGAATTCTAACAAATAAGAGGTGTTTTCCCTTGATTTTAGGATAATACAAACAAATTTTTAAAAAAATTCAAAGGGGGGGGGGGGCGCACGCCCGGCGCTGGATCCGCCTTTGATCAAGAAATCTACATCATTGGAAAATTTTTAAAAAATAAGAGAACCAGTAATGATTTGAGCGAAAAAGGAGATGGGTTTTCACATACAACTTTGTAGCTGCTTGTATGTAGCTCGTTGATCTGCACGAAGAAATTAGAATTATAGACAACCGGAGAGTTTCAAGACGAACTATTGAAAATATAGCTTTATGTAAATTTACTATATTTCATTTGCCAGCTCAAAATATTGCAAACGATGAATTCCTAGCATGTATTCTACTTTTATTTCATGATCGTCTGAGAAATATGAGGATTTATTCAGTCAAGAAAAATCATATTTCCCGAGTCGAATTCGTTGACAAAAAGCATGACGACGACAGGGATATATAAAAATTTATGGCCTTGTCATTTGGCTGTCTGTTATAATGAGATTTAATAAATTCTATTGCTTCTTCTTTTAAAACTTTGATGCCTGTGAAATATGTAAGGAAGAATTTGATTTTTGTGAATAAATGAAATTAAGAAATGGATCAAAAATACGCACGCACACGCGCACACAAGCTAAAACATTACAGGTGATTGCCGACTATTTTTCTATGTTCAGCAGGTAAGAATTAATATATAATCGCATTTAGAAATATTTATTACAGAAACTTCATTTTGAGATTACAGTAGCGGCCCTTTTACAAATGTTTGATTTGTTGTGTACAAATGTTAGTAACGTCGAGAAGAGGAAAATATTTGAAATTTCACAGTAATGATTAAAGATAGCATAGGTAAAAAAAAAGAAAAGAATGAAAGAAAATAAAGGACAGAGGCATTTATAACAGCTTTTGATAACATATGATTTACTTGTAAAGAGAAATAAGTTGACAAACGTATCAATTTTCATACACGGGCTAAACTTTTATGAGACAATCCTAAGACCTGATTTTGTGCCTCTATTTTCTGTTTCTACTCCATAAGTAAGGCAGAAACAAAATTGTATGAACAATGAAATTTTTTTTTCAGCGTATACAAAAGAAAATGCGCTTGGAATTTTAAATAAAAAACAAATATTTTAATATATGATTTTCACGTACTACGGATAAACCTTTTTGGAAACAATTTTACATATTATGACGTGATATTTTGTCCATTAGAATTCTTCTCTGATACAGAGAATACGCGAGGTTTTGTTTGGGTTGGATCTTCCCTTACTCCAGAACTGTGTAGATTTTTTTTTTATATTTTAATATACAAGTGCTTTATATATTCTTTAACTGAGGTAGAATAGAATGCCTAGTATGGAATTGTACGGTACATGCATTTTATTTTCGAATGAACATAATCCGTTTCTAAGCCTGTCTACCCCCCCCCCCCCCCTCCTTTTTCCAAATCCATGTAACTGTGTCTGCCTCTAGAATTGTAAACATGTTAGAACAAAGGCAACTTCAGGGTTTATATTGACAAACTAGTAACTTGGAAGAAGAAATCAAATATCGGCTAGAGTTTATACGTATCATTAAGTTTATTTGAATAATTTAAAACCGAATTTTACGCTCGCGACGTCATTACGTCTTCATGGAATAACGTCAACGTTGTTTTGATGCGCCTTACTAAAATTATCATAAAATAGTGAAAAAATAAGATATTTTTAAAGGTAATGTATTTTTGCATTCAGAAAGAGTCAGGCTATCAAAATTTACCAAAAAGTCATTTTGTGAAATTTTGACCTTAAGGGCCCTTTTCTCATGACGGCAGTCATATATATATATATGAAAATGGAAAATAACAAGGCAACAATGTTAGTAAAACGTAAGCGCTTTCATTACTTCTTCAGACGTTTTACAATTCAAAATAATTCAAACATGTGACGTTATAACGCTACCTGATGATAACGTCAACAACAATGCAATGACGTCACAATGCTTATAGAGGAAACAATTATAGAGTCTAAGTAAAATTACTTTGTTCATTAATAGCGTAATAATAAATAAAGTCATGAAACAGTCTATATTAAACTATTTAAGGACGGTTTAAAAATCTTGATGAAATGTTTTTCTTTTTCCCGTCTTTCTAAAAGATTTTCTGTTTTGAGTTTATAAAAGGGTTAAACTGAGAATTGTCCCTGTCCACAAACAGCAAGATGTTCACTGAGTTTTATTTTTCTGTACTCGGGTTGGTTGATATGTTGTCTATGTATGCGTATACGAGTGCGTAGTGTGGTCCCCGTTTCTCCTATGTATAATTGTCCGCATCCAGCGCATGTTATACAATAAATAACGTTTTTAGATGCACAGATCATATCTGCATTGATAGTAAATTCTTTATTTCCGAGTGTAAAAGTACTTCCCTCTTTAATATACTGGCAGGTTCCACAACGTGAATCAGAGCATTTATTGACCACATACAAATTCCGTTGGTGAAATGTAGATTTACACAATATTCTTCGGAGGTTTTTAGGTGGTCTTTTACTGTTGATGAATTTATATTTTTCCAGTACTTTGGACATTTTCTCATCCGTCTGTAGAATGTTGTTGAGGTGACGCACTGTAGAGGTTATATTCCTATTCTTTGGATTGTATGTAGTTACAAGCGGTAATATTGCAGAATCTGATGTGTCACTTTTTGAAGAATTAATAAGTTTATCTCTGTCGATTTCTATAGCCTTTCTCATTCCGTCCTCAATGATTCCAAGAGGATAGCATTGTTCAAGCAGATATTTTTTTTAATTCATTCAGACGTTCATCTCTTTTTTTCTTGTCGCTAACAATAGTGCAGATTCTTCTAGCTAAATTGTAAGGGATTGAACGTTTCGTATGACTTGGATGACAGGAACTAAAATTGAGATATTGATGTGTGTCTGTCGGTTTGTAGTATATGTCTGTCGAAATACATTCTCCATGCTTTGCTATATTAGATATATCTATATTAGATTCTGCAATATTACCGCTTGTAACTACATACAATCCAAAGAATAGGAATATACCTCTACAGTGCGTCACCTCAACAACATTCTTACAGACGGATGAGAAAATGTCCAAAGTACTGGACATATAAATAAATAAATAAATATATATATATAATATATATATATATATATATATATATATATATATATATATATATATATATATATATATATATATATATATGATATTGTAAATTTTAATTGTTAAAAATATAAGGACCGCTTAATAATTTTTAACATATTGAACACTAACTTGCTGAAATTTGTCCTATACTCCCAGGGACCGGAGCCATCCCTCCCTGACCTCCGAGAAAAGCTGCAATGGGTGTTCTACCTCCACCGCCACCGAACGCACTCTGAATAGCATTGTTCACAATAGAATCCATGGTTCCCTGAGCATCAGCATTGTAAAGGATAGAGGCACAAATTATTATTGCATACATTTCCTGCATCCTTGTCAAATGTGTTTTAAAAGATCAAAGAATCAAATTGGGCCTTTTAATCGTATGAGAACTTTATTGATTGACCAATCAGAATGCAACTTACATCTCATGAATAAATTTGTCTTCACACAATCATAATTTGTCAATTCAAATTTGAAAGCAAGGAAAAACAAGGTTTGATACTTTAATTCGCATAAAGGTGCGGTGTAAATACCTACAGAATGATTTTTATCAAGCTCGAAATATTTTAAATATTCTGCGCCGTCTATTTCTTAATAAAAAAATAATTAAGATTTAACCTAAAAAAGTTTCAAAATAACAGAAAATAATATTCGATTGTTTGAAGTTTCCTTTCCAATATTATTTAAAAAAGGATGACATGACACTTTACAATGTGAAACGTCTTTGTGTTATCTATAAACAACAATAAAGCATATTTTTCTTTTTTTCATGATCGTTTGATCGATGTACAAAAACAGTTGTTCCTCTTTAAAGTTGAAATCCAAACTGTGGATCATTTGACCTGATCAACAATGGTTCATTGCTTTAATACAGTAGTAAGGCAAAATCAACTAAAACTTGTCGTCCTATTATTATTTAGCTGATTGATGCATCATTTCCATTTTTAAAAACTGGTACAAGAATAGGTCTTGATCCACTTTTACTGGAAAAGCTTCATACAGGAAGAAGTGGAATTGTTTTAAATCCAATAAAATACTCATGAATATTCAAGTCTGTTACGTGAGACTTTTCTATTTTATACTTTAATTGTTAGTGTGTCTTCTTGTCTGAAATTCCATCATACAATTCTTCAAAAAAGGAAGTCTCGTCACCTGAAGTATAAAGAACATTTAGGTAACGGAAGATGCAAGCTCTCTAATTAAAAAATCATTAAATAAAGTGGTATTAATGAAAGAAATGTTGTCATTACTAATTATTCTTACGTAAATTTTTAAAGAACACTTTTTGGATTGATTTTATGTATTTATTCTAACAATTGAGTAGTTAAGCTGAATTTTCAGAGCTAGAGCCATATTCTTTTTTATTCAAGTAGAATGCGATGTGTATCAGTTTCTTTATTGTTGTTAAAATTTCGAAGGTCAATTTTACCACGCGCTATTCTTTATTTTTTTTAGATCGGAAAAAAGGCTTCTACAAGATTAAAGCTGAAGTCTAAAAAGTGCACATTATTCGCACAAAGTGTTGACTACCTTGGACATATCGTATCAGCGTATAAAATTTCGATTCATCCAGAGAAGCAAAGGTCATACGATAAAGGCCTCACCACGGTATAATAACCGCTCAGAGATCTTTTTTAGGCTTGGTTACTACCGGGCGTTTGTTCCTAATTTTTCAGCTATTGCCAAAACACTTCACTCCAAATAAGGTGAAGCGAAAATTAAGTGATCTACAGTTTTCCATATTCTTAGAACACTGACCACTGCTTACCACCTTCAATTGAAGCCATGCTCAGTGCATCGTCTCAAGCCACGGTCCGGAGTCCGCATATAGCTCTCCTACATTTTTGCCGTGGTTTCCGACGATGTGCTCAGTGCTTTCAGGAGATTATATGGAAGCCCATTCAGGACCTATCAAAAATATTTTTGAATTTGATGTAGTGAATTGTCGACTTCGTTAAAACGAATTAAATTCGCTAAAACAAATTTTTGAATCCGTTATAACAAATTCAACAAATTTGTTATTACGGATTAAATTCGTTATAACGAATTTAAAAAAAAATGATTGATTGATTGTATGTTATTTTACGTCCCATTCGAGAATTATTAACTCATATAGAAACGTCACCATATACCAGTGAAGGGCTTCAAATTAAGACCTTTTTCTCGGCATTCAGGGCCATTGAGCAGTAAGGGTTTTTTTTTTAATCATGCCAACGCCTACCGTGACACGGGGCCTCGGTTTTTAAGGTCTCATTCGAAGGACCCGCAACTTTCACTGGCGAAGGAAAAGTTGCTACAGTGTACCTATTTTTTTAAAGACTCGTGTCAGTCACGGCCGTGCTTCGAACACACGACCTTCCGACAAAAAAATCGATATGACGAGTCAAATTTGACAAATCGTTAGATTGATTTCAAAAATATGATGAACATATCCCTATAGTTATGATGGCATATGGGTCTGCCGAACAGGTCTATACAGTTTATACTAAATTTTGTTAGGTAGAGAAACTACCTTATCCTTAGATTTAATGTACAGAATGTCAGAACCTGTGAGGCAAGAAAGCCCAAATAATTGGGTTTGGTTTCTTAGGGAGAGACTTGAGCAAGGATATGATATTATGCGGTCCGTTTGAAGTACATGAACTAAGGTCAGATGTATTATTTGCTTGTGGTAGAAATGGGGGAAAGATTATCAACTGCATCAGAATGAGATAGATGGGATATCAAACTCTAAATTTTAAACTATCAAATTCAATTTTTAGGGGTCTGTTATAGCAATGAAAGTAGTGAATTAAGGACCCTCTCTACACTACACCCTAATTTCAGGGTACTTTTGTGTAGTTAGACTGACCCATCATTTGCTATAGAAATAGAATAAATTTTAACCTGCACTGTATGACATAATTTAAAATAAATTGAATTATTCTAAACATGTATTAGACCAAGATAGAGTAGTTGAAAACTTTATTTGCATGTATTTTCTCCATTTGAGTAAGCAAAAGCGAATTTTATTTATAATTACTTCATTATCTTTGAAGATTTTTTCCTGGATAAAAATGAATTAGATAATTTCAAAACATCTTCCTTTACGCTATATAATTTTCTCAAAGTCCAAAAAACATTTTCATCAGTGTATAGAGGGTCCTTAAATCAAAACAATGATATATAAAGTGTAGATGATTTGGTTTGAGATGTTGACCAAAAACGAATTCGCATTAAACCAAAGTGGTTAGACGACTTTGTAAATTTTGATATTTTTGATTATAACATGTAGAATTATATTTATAACAGAATGTGAATGACATAAGCTTAATTGATAAAATATTTGTTTCTGCAGGAAATGCCAAAGATTTTTCCTCAAAATGGAAAGTCTCTGTAAATATATCCCAAACAAAAATTGTTGTCTTTAAAATGATGAAAAATTGAAGGAGTGAACAAAACATGTGGTAAACCAAATTTAATCAATCGTCGTGCTCTTGAATCAAAAAGGAAATTTAATGCTACGCATAACAGCGCTGATTATGTAAGATGGATCGATAAGTAATGTTTTCTTGGAAATCGAAAAATCAATCAAATTTGTCTTAATATTATCTTCTCTTTTTGACACATTTTTTTTAATTGCAAAGATGATTTACGGATGTGAAGACTGGGAAATTCACAGGAAAGTGATATTAAAGAGTTCACAAAAAAAATCAAAATAATTTTTTTTGGAAATTACCTTTGATTTACAAATGTATTGAAGTTTGAAGAAGAAAAAAAATGGTTTGTAGTCAATATTTTCTTATTGGCAAAGATTTAAGGATAATTTCATATAAAATCGAATGATTGAAATCGTTCATTAAAATGTATTTCTAAAAACATTATTGATATTATGATCATCAAACCAAATGATATTGCTTGTCACACTTTATAAAAAGAAACGTAAAAAGAAAAAGTGCAGTGTGTGAAGTGGATGCCTTTAAAATATTGTTTCTTTTAACTCTGTAAATTTAGCATAAAAGATAGATTTCATTTTTGATCTGTCCTATTTAGACAAACTATGAGTTAAATACAAAAACGATTTTCGGAGGGGGGATGGGGGCTCTGTAATTAAATCTTTGCAACTCTTAAGTGTTCAAAATATTTCTGAATTTTTTTTTACATTTAGGGTTTAACTTTTAAGTTAAGAGGTGAAAACTGATCATTCTCTGAGTATCCTCTTTTTATATTTATATAAAAATATATATTTTTTAACTTTTTATATTTATAACGATTGTTTTAACTTATACTCTACGCAAAGAAACGTAATACCATACCACTTTTTCCTGTTCGAATTTATTATAGTGTTATTTATAATGATGACTTGTGTTATGCAATATCATAATTTCTAGCATTATCACCAGTGTTAGACAGACTTGTCCAGAGTGAGACAGCAATGTGAGATCCTTCCGTCTAACACTGCGTATAACTTCGACGCGAACAGCATGAACAAAGGAAATATGATAAAATGCAAATAAATGAATAAATTGGGGAGGGGGTGTAAGCAAAGGTAAAAAATCAACTTGTAGGATTATAAACTTTTTTGAAAAACAGTGGGTAGTTTGAATATTTTACGATCTGAAACTTGCAGAAAAAATTGTGTATATAGTCTGAAACTTTTCATCTAAATTCTCCTGTGAACTTAAATTGTTTCAATTCTCAAACTGTCCTGAAACTCTCCTTGTAAAGCCAGAAACGCTTTCAAATTGTCGGTTTTTCATTGGAACGGTTGTGATCTAGAAAATACAGTGACAGAGAAAATGAATTTTAAATAACTGTCATATATCTTATAAAAATTTACTGCATGATCTTGAGATTGATGGGGAGATTTATTCAGTCAAGAAGGCGTTTATTTTTTGTGATTTAATCAGTTTTCGGTATTTAACAGTGTTGCATTTTCATTAATCATTTTGCTTCAAATTATACCTAGTTGTGCGTTTAAAGGTCAACTGAAAAGATTTTTCACTTTCATTTAATTAATCCCTTATTATCTTCAAGTAAACCATAGAATTTAAACTATATTAGTTATTCGGTTATATCTTAATTTATTTCCGAAATATTTATGGTAAAAGTTGTCACACCTGAAATCTGACCTAAAATTTTGTGCGAGTTATGCCCCTTGACACGAACCCGCCATATTTAAACTACAGACGCTGAAACGTCATGCTTCAGACGATAGGGGATTGAGAAATAAAATATGGTGCTGTGTGCAGCACCAAACTGTAATATCCAATACGGACAGGGTGTGTCTTTGTTTACCTTCCCCGAGGATCCCAAATTATGCCAGATTTGGGTAAGAAAGCTGAAAACCATTAATTGTTGGCCATCC